TATTTTAATTAGGATTTAGAATATTATTTTAAATATTATTTTTTAGGTATTTATTTTAAATAGTTTTAAGTGTTTTAATTAGGATTTAAGATGTTTTAGCTTGTTTTTAGGAATTTGAAGGCTATAAATACCCTCTTAGGGTCAGCCTAGAAACATATCTCTCATCTGAGAATAAAATCTTCTTTTTCTCTCTAGCTTTCTCTATATTTTTTCGTATACTTTTCAATTATGCTAAGTATGATTTTGGTCATGCTATGATTTTGGTCATGCTTTGCTAATTTTCTTTTAAGCCAAGGGCTAAAGCGAAGACTCACTTCCAAGCGTGAGAATTGTAAGGTACTTAAATCACTTCAGATTTTTCTCTCTGTTTTCTGAGCTTACTTTTAAAATCAAAACGATTTCGACATTGATCCGGATGTTGTTATGGTTAACGTTATAAGAAGGATTTGTTTATTGAAGCATATTCAACTTCCTGAGAACACACTTAGCAAAATTGTTTGCTAAGAGCAAACTGAGATCGGAACCAGTTATTATTGAAACAACATAATCCGAGTCGGCAACAAAGAATTGTCCTTGTAGTAACCGACGTGAATCTTGAAATAAAAATCAGTTTCGATGATTCGAGAAATTTGAGGCAAAGCTGAAGTCTGAGGCTGCTTTCACTATAAGTTTTCTTTATCCCTATCTCTTTAGATTATTTATTTAATTATTTCATTTAAATCTTATCTTTTATTTTTTTTAAAAACTTTTAAAAACCCCCCATTTTTATTTTACTACTATTATTTATTTTATTATTTTCCCTTTTATTTATTATTATGTATTTTATTTTATTAAATCTTTTCAACTTTACCTGGAATTCTATCTCCTCCTAAAACCAAGAAACAATTTTACTAAATCAGAAATACCACAGTCCCTGTGGATCGACCCTGCTTCTCTATGCTAACTTTTTCTTTTTATTTAAGAAGTCGAGATTATTTTGATAGCAAAATGACAATTATCAAATTGGTGTCGTTGCCGGGGACTAACTGCAAGTACTGATTTATTTTTCTACTTTTTGATTTATGACCAGAACAAACCCAGGTGAATTTGTAGATCTAGATCCGGAGATCAAAGCACGGTCACGAAGAATCCACACAAATGCTTAGAGAAAAGAGAAAAAGAAAAGAAGAACAATAGCAGAGTTCAGAAGAAGAATCAAATCTGGAGACTGAAGCAGTCGCATACAACATTCCGATGGCTGAAGAAGAACAAACGATCGGAGAGTTAACCACATCTCATGTCACTCAGACGCCATTATGCATTAATTTTCCTAGTGGCGGGACTCCGTTTCAATTAAGACAAGACTCATTCATCTTCTTCCCACCTTCCACGGCTTTCCCACTGAAGATCCGCACAAACACTTGTTGGAATTCAACATGGTTTGCGCTAGCATGAAACCACGGGGAGTTACCGAGGATCAAATTAAATTGAGAGATTTCCCTTTCTCTTTAGCCGACTTGGCTAAAGATTGGTTATTTTATTTACCTCCTAATTCAGTTAATTCATGGGCTAACATGAATCGAATTTTTCTTGACATGTTATTTCCAGTGGCTAAAGCAAGCGAGTTACGAAGGAGCATTTTTTCCATTCAACAAAAGACCGAAGAAAGTCTTTATGACTATTGGGAACGATTTAAAAAACTTTGCGCACGATGTCCGCAACACAGATTAAGTGAGCAAACGTTACTTCAATATTTTTATGAAGGCCCTTTACCAATGGAGATGAAAATAGTGGATGCCGCCAGTGGAGGAGCTTTAGTCAATATGACCACAACAATAGCAAGGGAATTGATTTCAACTATGGAATCAAATTCTCAACAGTTTTCAAGTGAACCCAGCCGATGGGTTCACAAGATAAGTACATTTTCCCTTGAAAATAAGTTAGATAAATTAATTGAAGTAGTTAATTCACTTGTTACAGAAAAATCTGGAGCAACAAGAGCATGTGGGATATGTACAAAGCTAGACCATCAGATGGATTGTTGCCCGCTGATACAAGAAGGAGGCAATGCAGAAATCAATGTAGTATGGAACTTTCCAGGTCCTCCACAAATACAATACAACCTATATAGCAATACTTATAATCTAGGATGGCGAGACCACCCAAACTTTATCTACGCGGCAAATCAAAGACCATCATTGGAGGAACTCATAGGAAAGTTAGCAATTTCATAAGAAAAGTTAATTGCATCCCAGGAAAATTTCCAAAGCCAAACCGAAATACATATTCAAGAGTTAGATAACCAAGTACGTCGACTAGCTCAAACTATGGGAAAATTGGAATCACAAGGAAGACTATATTCTCAAACGGAGTTAAATCCAAGAAAGAGTGTTAGTGCCATCACACTCTAAAATGGAAAAGTTATCTCACCTGAAGTTCCATTAGAAAAAGCCACACATCAGAAAGAACAAGAGAACACACCACCTTCAGAAATATAAGGTACGAATAACACCCATCCTTCTCTTTCTTCTCATGAAATCATGCCACCACCCTTCCCATCAAGATTGATGAAGCTTGATAAAAGAGCTAAAGAAAAGGAGATATTAGAGGTGTTCCAAAAATTTCAATTCAACATACCTCTTCTTGAAGTAATTCGACAAGTACCAAGGTATGCTCGATTTTTAAAAGAACTTTACACTATAAAGAGGAAATTAATGGGTCACGAAAAGGTAAATTTGGGAGAACATGTCTTTGCAATTTTTCAACGAAATCTCCCATTAAAGATGAAGGATCAAGGTATGTTCGCTATACCTTGCAAAATAGTTGATTTTAAAATTAAACGTGCAATGTGTGACTTAGGAGCTTCAATTAATGTTATGTCATTTTCTATATATAAAATGATTACTAACGAGCCTTTAAAGAAAACAGGAATAACCATACAGTTGGCTGATCGATCTTTGATCTATCTAGTGGGAGTAATAGAAAATGTCTCAGTAAAGGTTGATGTATTATTTTTTCTCTGCAGATTTCTATGTTATTGACATGGAAAATGACAGGCCGGATACTTATTTAGAGGTACTTTTAGGCCGACCCTTCCTAAGCACTGCACATACAAAGATCGATGTTAGAAGTGGTATACTGACAATGGAATTTGATGGTGAGATCGTTGAATTTGATGTTTACAAAGCAATGAAATTCCCTGATCATGTTGAAAGAATTAATTCAGTTGAAATTATGGATCCTTTAATTGATGAATATATTGAATCTATTTTTTCTTATGATCTTTTTAAGGATCCTGAACTTTGCCACGAAGAGGAAGAAAAGGAGTTTAAAAATACTAATTCAATCAATTCTGATTAATCTTTATCTTCCTCTAAAACTAAAATTTTACCTTCTATTTTGCAGGCACCTGAGGTAGAATTGAAACAATTACTGGAGCATTTGAAATATGCCTTTTTGGGTGAAAATGAAACTTTGCCTATGATCATCTCAAGTAAATTATCTGAAGGAGAAGAGGAAGCTTTGGTAGCAGTGTTGCGCTCTCACAAAAAAGCCATGGGATGGACCATTGTTGACATTAAAGGATTAAGTCCCTCGACTTGCATGTACAAAATCAAAGTCGAAGAAGGAGCAAAGCCATCACGAGAAGGACAACGCCGATTAAATCCACCGATAATGGAAGTAGTAAAGAAAGAAATTCATAAACTCCTTGATGCTGACATAATCTATCCGATATCGGATAGTAATTGGGTAAGTTCGATTCATGTGGTTCCCAAGAAAACGAGAGTAACAGTGGTCAAAAATCAAGAAGGGGAGTTAGTGCCCACAAGAGTTCAAAATGGATGGCGAGTTTGTATTGATTACAGGAAGTTGAACTCTCTTACTCGAAAAGATCATTTTTCTCTTCCTTTTATAGGTCAAATGATTGAAAGATTAGCTGGGAAAACTCATTATTGTTGCCTTGATGGTTTTTCAGGTTTTTTTCAAATCCCAATGGCGTCAGAGGATAAAGAAAAAACAACTTTTACTTGTCTCTTCGGTACATTTGCATATAGATTAATGCCCTTTGGTCTTTGTAACGCACCGGTCACTTTCCAAAGATACATGTTAAGTATATTTTCCGACTATGTGGAGAAGGGCATCAAAGTCTTTATGGATGACTTCACGGTTTATGATAATTCTTTTAATGAATGTCTTGATAAATTAACTAATGTGCATAAAAGATGATTAGAATATAACCTTGTTTTAAACTATAAAAAATATCGTTTTATGGTTGATAAATGGTTAATTTTAGGTCATATTATTTTCGTAAAAGGAATTATGGTTGATAAAGCTAAACAAGATGTTATAACACTATAAGAAAATATACATTTAATGACATACGAACAAAGACACGCGCTAATTTATGACTTGCAAAACACATGTGTCATAAAAAATGTCATGTTTTTTAAAATCTGAACGATTTATGACTTACAATAATGTGTGTCATATTTAATAGCCATAATCCAAAAAAATTACAAAAACACGGAATACACTTTTAATTATGTGTCATCTTTAAGAGTCATATTTTAATTTCACCCCCATAATTTTCATCCTTTCCCGCTTCTTTCCCCTCCATAATTATCAGTTCACGCCCATGTATCACACAACAAATGGAACCCCACTCTTATTTTAACCTATTTTAAAACAAACAACCAGAGAAAAAGCTCCAGACTTTAGCAGTTGCAAACGCCAAGAGAATCTAAGTTTCCCTTGCAAATGAGGGTTAGAATTGTTTTTCTTTATTATTATCATTTTCGTAGTGTTTTTCCCCGGTAAATATTCATTTTTGTTTTTTTTACAGGGGGAAGTAATCACATTGGCCATCCAATCCATGGGTGTTGCTGAATAAAAGGGACTTGTTTATTTCAGGAATAGATATTGTAAAATCCAAGGAAACTGGGGGAAAATTAGGTGCAGTGCTTATATCTGAGATTGTTGATACCAACATTCCACCATTCCCAATCTTACATTTTTTCTTTGAAGCTCTCTTAATATTTGCCCCTTCCTTTTCACTTCCTTCATGTGGTCTCATTTTCTGGTATTAAAACCCCCCAAAATCCTTAATAGAAACCCGTGAACTTGCAAATCTATCTGCCCCTGTTTGTTATGTCTTGAAAGGAGTTTTCTTTATACTGTTTTTTTTTGTGTGTGTGTAACTTATGAAGAAAGATCTGCGTTCGCATTGGAGTTTAAGGTACTGTAAGTCTGTAATCTCCACTTTGGGTATCCTCAAATTTTGGAACTTTGTTGAAATAGAGCCAAAAGGGTACCCAAATAATCTCTTTTTTTTCTTATTTTTTTCTGGGATTTTTGCATGTTGATTGATTTTCAGATTGCTTACTATATAGGAAGACGATGGCTGGCAATGGGATGTTATACCCAATTCTTGGATTTGCTTCGTGTATGGCTTTTATTTATATGTCTTTTGGTGATTTGAAGCTTAGTAGTTTCCCTAGGGAACGGGGATTAAGTTTTGTGGAAAGGAATGGGACTCATTTCTTTTTAGATGGGAAATCATTGTACGTTAATGGCTGGAATTCTTACTGGTTAATGTCCCATTCTGTGGAGGAAAATACTAGACCTAAGGTCAGTGCAATGCTTCAAGCTGGTGCAAGGATGGGGTCTCACTGTTTGTAGAACCTGGGCCTTTAATGATGGTGGCTATAATGCTCTCCAGATTTCCCCAGGGCAATTTAATGAGCGAGTTTTCAAGGTATTTGTTCGAGATTTGGGTTTTTCTTTTTTGTAAATTTTGATATTTGCATCGCATCAGTTGTATAATCTCAATCCTATATGATCTGTTTGTTCAATGCAAGCGCCATTTTGGTTTCAAATTTACATGAGATTATTGCACAGTTGCTAATCTAAACTAGGATTGTCTTGAATATAAATATGATAGGGCTCTCTAAAACTGTAATCTAGAAAGTTGGAAATGAAAGAGAATAGCAGGATAAGCTATTCGGATTTCAATTTGCTTCTATTTCTAGGCCGATTGATTAGAAATATGTCAAAAATCGTTTAATAATCAACTCAGTTGTGTTCTTGAATGTCGGTTAGTATGATAGTAGAGTACAGTTTCTCGGTTAATGTTATTTATGTTGATGAATATCGATCTTTCCAGGCCTTGGATTATGTCATTGCAGAAGCAAGGCAGCATGGAGTCAGGCTGCTTCTGAGCTTAGTAAATAATTTGCAGCCATATGGTGGAAAGACGTAGTATGTCAACTGGGCGTGGCAAGAAGGCATTGGTTTGAGATCTTCTAACGATTCCTTCTTCTATGATCCATCAATCCGCAAATATTTCAAGAATTACGTCCTGGTATCTCATCGTCTATCTAACTTTCACCAATATCTTTTTCTTATATTTGAATAGTGAAAATTTTCTTCCCCTGCATCACGAAGCATGTGTATCACTGCATATCTTCTGTGAATTGTTCTTGGAGTACTGACATTACATTGTTAAAATAGATAAATCTTAATGTTCAAAGGGGAACCCGATGCTGCAAGTTTCGCATCAACTTGTTTATAAATTTAGTGCTTACTGTATATAGCCCTGTAAACAACAAGTACCAAGCGTCTCGCTTGTTGATGACAAAGACAAAAGTTACAACAATTTGATTGTGAAAGAGAACTGAAAGTGAAAGGAAATGTGTTACTCCATAATTATCAAATAATGGTTCAGTTTTAGTTATAGATGTGCTTGATGATATACATAGACTTTGAATTGATTGCTCATTTGCGACAGTGATGTTGGGGAAATCAATAATGTTTGTGGTCCATTTTTTATGGTATATTATTGATACTCCTATATTTATATCCCTGCATTAATGGAAAAATAACTTTAATTTTTTTTAAAAATGGAAAATAAGCTGGGCTGCTAAGATTATTTCTAGTGAGATAGGATGTAAGTGTTTGACTACTTAATCAGTTTTTCACAAACAGAAAACCTGATTAAAGTTTTCATATTTTTGGAATCTTTACTATTAAACCTTTTGAGAAGTTCTATTTATTCCATAAATATTTGTTTGAATATCCTCCTGAAATTTTGCTTTTGGTGATTTTTCTGTTGAAATATGTTTTTGCAGCATTTTCCTTATGCTAAATTGAATGTGATTTTTATTTGTATGCGTAGATTTTGGAGTGCTTATACTTTCTTTGTCATATTGTTGCTATTTGCTAATTATCAACTGGGGCCTCAATATGTTTGCACAAGTTTCTGGACATTTGTTTGCACCACCTGCATTGGAATACATTAAGCGTTCAATTTGGTTGGCAAGTTGAGTTTTCTTGACATATTGGTTGCTGATTAGCTTATATCTAAGAGACTGCATTTAATGATAGTCAGACGTCAATAAATTTTCTAAAATGGCTATCGGTTTTAATTGTTTCCAGTCGGGAGTTCACACACAGAGTTAAATCAGTATCTATGGCTAAATTCACTTCTCAAGAGGTTGCCACTCTTCAAGAAGGGGAAATCAAGTAAAGATTAACCTTCTCTCTCCCTCTCTTGATAAAGATTTCTTGATAAAGAGCAAAATGAACAAATAGCTTCAGGACAACATTCCTACAATAGATGATTCTCCCTTTACAATATCATGCAACAAAAGTCCATAACTGATCAAGCTTTTTTAATTCATTACTTGTGATAGTTAGGTTTAGGTTACAACTAAAGCAATTATGTTTTTTTTTTCGGTTTCAATTTGATTAGGAATGAACTTTACGTTTATGCAATTCATTCTCTCCATTTTTACGTTATTTATTTCTTATTGCAGTGGGTGTTGTCTCCCAAGTACTTCAATTTCCCGTTTCCTATGACGTTGACAATGATTTACATGTTTCCTATGAATCTTCTCTTACTTAGAACGTAACAATCTTGTCTCCCTCCTATTTGTTGGATTAGGACATGGAAATTTATAATGCTTAATTTTACAATAAACTATGATAATAGTTGTTCGGTTTCTTCATTTTCTTAAAGCATCCACTACCATCACATATTAGATGTGTGTGTGGGATTATATTAAGAAACTTATAAAAAAATTGAATATACCCGTGCCGAACTTATATTCATTTTAATTATTTGACATTTTAGTAGGTCAAGAAATTCAAAGACAAGGGACACAGTCAACAACCAACTACAACTGTTGATCAGAAAAGAGCCTTTCCAAAGCGTTCAGCTGATGGCGCCAGTGATGGATTTGTTACTTCCGCTAGGGGCCTCTTCAACAATCAACGGCGCAAAGCCAAACAATTTGTGTTACGAACTATGAGGGGTGAAGAGGAGGGTGACCAGCAGGGTCAGTTGAGTGATGGCGATGCATCTACTGCAAGGTAAAGTCAGTGCTACTTACCTAGACATTAGATGCATTTGGTGGAGAGTCATAGGCTTTGGTTTCAATTCTTCTTTGTACAGCATAGATAGTACAGCTCATGGCTAATTCGAGCAGGGAGCAGTAACTAATTTTATGTGAACTAGGACTATTGTTGAATTCATTTAAGGAGATTTGTAACTTTCAGTGTTTGTTTATTAACTTATAATAATAGTTATATGTTCTTTCTCAATGTCATATTTTCTTTGTTTTCTTTGACTAATCGTTTATTGTAAACTATTTATAGTGTGAATATATTGTATACAAATGGATTGCTTATAATATATAATATGATATATATATTTAATATTATGAGACATTAAATGTGATTTTGTTTGATTATTTGTCAATCAACAATATATATATATATATAATTTACGAAATACAATCACGACACACGAATGTAAGTCATACAAATGTATGTCACTTTCATTTATGACGAAGGCTTCAATGACACGCAATGTAAGTAATACATGCGTGTCATAAATTTATGACACACAAATGTGTGTCATCTTCATTTATGACGGGGGCTTCAATGACGCGCAATGAGCGTCATAAATGCGCGTCATAAATGCGTGTCATAAATACGTGTCATAAATGTGCGTCATAGATTTATGACACAAAATTGCACGTCATCAAAAATTCATGTCGGTGGCTTCAACGACAAGCATTTGTGTGTCATCCGCACCCATAGATGACGCGCAATGCGCTTCATTAAAGGTATATTTTCTTGTAGTGTAAGATCACTTCCTTACCCCACAAATGTTAGGGAAATTTGTTCTTTTCTTAGCCATGCAGGATTTTACTGCAGGTTTATTAAGGACTTTTTGAAGGAAGCATAACCTTTATGCAATCTACTTCAAAAGGATCAAGACTTTAACTTTAATTCAAAATACAATGAGTCTTTTGATTCATTAAAGGAAAAGCTTATTTCAGCTCCAATTGTTCAGTCGTCAGATTGGAATAATCCCTTTGAACTTATGTGTGACGCATCGGATACTAGCGTTGGAGTCATTCTTGGCCAAAAAATAGGGAAAGAGCCACATCTCATAGCCTATGCACCCTGAACTTTGGACTCGGCTTAGAAAAATTATTCGACTATGGAAAAAGAACTTTTTGCTATAATTTTTGCTTTAGAAAAATTTAGATCATGTTTGCTTGGCACTAAAATTAATGTTTTTTTGATCATGCAGCTATAAGGTATTTGATGAGCAAAAATGAGGCAAAATCGAGGCTTATCCTATGGATCCTGCTTTTACAAGAGTTTAACTTAGAAATTAAAGACAAAAAGGGATGTGAAATAATTGTAGTAGATCACTTGAGTCAAATTCCCCTTTCTATATCCGAACCACCACTTAAAGAAGAATTGCTTGAAGAAAAACTGATGGTGGCGCAAAGCATAACCCCATGGTTTGCGGACATGGTTAATTATTTAGCCACATGTATGTTACCATTAGATTTTCCAAGAGCTGAAATCAATCGAATTAAGCGAGAATCTCGATACTATATTTGGGATGGTCCTTATTTATGGAAGCACTACTCGGATCAGGTAATTCGACAATGTATTACAGAAAGCGAGGTAAATTCAATTTTACAATTTTGTCATTCTTACTCTTACGGTGGTCCTTTTGGGCCAAAACGTACAGCCCATAAAATTTTTGAATGTGGTTTATATTAGCCTAACATCTTTCGGGACTCTTATATGTTTTGTAAAACTCGTGAAAGATGTCAACGTACATGTAATTTAAGTTGTAGGAATGAAATGCCTATTAATTCTATACAAGTTTTTGAAATTTTTGATGTTTGGGGAATCGATTATATGAGCCCTTTTACTTCGTCATTTGGAAATACTTATATTATTTTAGCAGTAGATTATGTTTCTAAATGGGTGGAAGCTAAGGCCACTCGAAATAATGATGCTAAAACTACAGTTAATTTTTTGAAAAATATTTTTTCCAGGTTTGGCACGCCACGGGCTATAATAAGCGACAGAGGAACACATTTCATAAACTGAGTCATCGAGTCGCTAATGAAGAAATTTAGAGTAAAGAATTGCTACTGCTTATCATCCACAAACAAATAGAAAGACAGAAGTATCAAATCAGGAAATTAAAACAATTCTTGAGAAAATTGTTAAGCCAGACAGAAATGATTAGAGTTTAAAATTAACCAATGCACTTTGGGCATATCGAACTGCTTATAAAGGTCTCATTGGGATGTCACCATACCGGCTTGTTTTCGGTAAACCATATCATTTACCAGTTGAGTTAAAACATGGTGCTTATTGGTCCGTTAAACAATGTAACATGAACATGGATGCAATTGGTGAAGCTCGGAAATTACACATTCAAGAACATGAGGAAATCCGAAGAAATGCCTATGATAATGCTCGGATATTTAAAGAAAAAAATAAAAGAATTTCATGATAGTAGAATTTCTTTTAAAACATTTTCTGTCGGTCAAAAGGTTTTATTATTTAACTCCAAATTTAAAATTTTTGCATGAAAACTCAAATAAAATTGGCTTGGACCGTTTATAGTAACTCAAGTATTTCCTCACTGTGCTGTTGAAGTTGAAGATAACTTAGGAGTTCGATTTAAAGTTAACGGTCAAAGATTAAAGTTGTATTATGAAAATGCTTCGGTTGGTCTAATCGAAGAAATCAATTTAGAGGAACCCACACTTTGAAAAATCAGGTCGTTGAGCTAACGACGTTAAACAAAAGCGCTTGATGGGAGGCAACCAATTTCGTTCTATTTTTTTATTTTATTTTATTTCATTTTCATTTTATTTCATTTTATTTTTATTTTATTTTTTAGCAAACTTTATTTTCATTATATTTATTTTATTTTATTTTATTTTATTTTATTTTTCTCTAAACAGATTTGAATTCCGATCGAATATTTCTTACCTTCGCCCGGGCTCTTCTCGACATGACCGTGGTCGCAGTCACCACTAGATTGGGGAGTATTCCTTTTCCATCTCTTTGTTGTTACATTTGACATACATTTTGGGACAAAACGGATTAAGTGAGGAGGGAAGGATAAGCATATGTCAAATTTTTCCTTGACTTGTTTAATAGTTTAAAATTGAGTTATTCTGATGTTGATATGTTGGGATCGTTGGTTGCTAGTCTTGAATTTCGCTTTATACTCTTGCTTCCTTTTGGATTGTGATCATGCTTTGATCAAATTTAATTTTCAAGATTGGTGATTGATATAACTAGTGAATTTTTTGTTGAGTATTGATATTTCATGCTTTTTTCGATAGAGATGAACTTGACTCAATGCACATAAATTTTTCTTGTGAGATTTGAGCCTAACGAGCATACATTTTCTTTCTTTCTCATTGTTTGACTTCTGTGTGCCGAACTAATTAGGATGTTCTAGAACTTGTAGTCACAATGCATATCAAGACTACATGTTAAATGTAATGTTTTAATGTGATAGGGGCACCTAGGATAAATCCACTCTTCCCAAAAAGCCTACCCATTTATATATCCACTAGCGAACCACATTTGAGCCTATTTCCCTTTCTTTGTTTTACACCTCATAATTAAACCCGAAGTCTTTCTCTTTATTTTTCCTCTCTTTCACACCCTTGCCGAGACATGAGATCTTGTATTATTGTTGTTCCACGAAAAAAAATTCAATGTTTCAAAACAAAAGTGGAAACAAAACAAGTTGTTCATTGTTTCGAACAACAAAAAAGAAGAAAATACCATTTGTTCAAAAAAAACAAAAAAAAAAAGGGGAAAGAAAGATGGATCGCTTCAATTATCTTTCATATATTCTTTTTTCCTTGTTTTGTTCTTCATTGTGCTTCATGTTAATTTGTGGATTGTTCTTAATTATTTTGATATATTGTTTCGGTATTTTAAACCTTTCTTTTCGGCCTTTCCCTACCCTAACCTAAGCCCCGTTACACTTTGTTTAAAGACCCCTTGATTATTGCATTATGTTCATTTTTCGTAGTGGAGACTTGATTGGATTCCAAGCCTATGGTAATATTTTGGATAGTTTCGGTTTGAGCGATTTCATTTACCCCAAACACTTTGAGCGGATATATGTGAATCTTTGTGAGGTATTGAGTCATGTTTCATTGAAGTTGGCAATTAATTGAGATATCTTGCTTACTTTAAATTTTCTTGGTTGTACCTTTGCTTGATTGTTACTTGAATTCGGCAAATATCATGGACTTAGTTTGATTGGAAGTTTGAGGAATAAATTGAAATTGAAGATGGCAACTTGTGATTTGGATGTATTAATTGATGAATGCTTGAGGACAATCATTGAATAAGTGAGGGGGAATTTTATAAGTGTTTAATTTAGTTAATATTTTTCTTTTAAATTTCTCCTTAAACATTGGTTTTTGTGGCTTAAATGTTCGTTTTGATTCATTTTCTGTGAAGGACGTCAGATTCTGGAAATTGCACAAAAAGGACATAATTCTGCAGTTTTTTTTATTTTCAAAATCAAAGCTGGTTGGAATTCGGATTTGAATTAAACTCAAGTTTAGGATAATATTTTAAACATTATATTTTATCTTTGTATTTTAGTTTAAATAGGTTTTAGTATATTAATTAAGTTTTAGGATATTATTTTTATATTATATCTTTGTTTTAGGTATTTTAGTTTAAATAGGTTTTAGTATTTTAATTAGGATTTATAATTTATTTTAAATATTATTTTTTAGGTATTTTAGTTTAAATAGGTTTTATTATTTTAATTAGGATTTAGAATTTATTTTAAATATTATTTTTTTAGGAATTTTAGTTTAAATAGTTTTAAGTGTTTTAATTAGGATTTAAGATGTTTTAGCTTGTTTTTAGGAATTTGAAGGCTATAAATACCCTCTCAGGGTAAGCCTAGAAACATATATCTTTCATCAGAGAATAAAATCTTCTTTTTCTCTCTAGCTTTCTCTATATTTTTCCTATACTTTTCAATTATGCTAAGTATGATTTTGGTCATGTTTAGCTAATTTTCTTTTAAGCCAAGGGCTAAAGCGAATACTCAATTCCAAGCGAGAGAATTGTAAGGTACTTAAATCACTTCAGATTTTTCTCTCTATTTTCCGAGCTTACTTTTCAAATCAAAACGATTTCGACATTGGTCCGGATGTT